ACTAGGAGCAAGAAGCTACTAGCAGCTACTAGGGGCTCCTGGCCTTATTACTAGGAGCAAGAGGCTGCTTGGGGCTCCTGGCCTTACAAGCTACCAGGGGCTGTTGTGCTTCACTAGGTGCTGACTGCACCTGGGAGTGCTGGGAGCTTAGCAGAGTGAATCGACATCACTCAGGCCAGCTGAGTTCTGCTCCATTTAACGCAGATGAGGGTGCCTCTGGGCATTTGGCAGCCAAAACTGTAAAAGTGCTGGCAAGCTTGCCCAACGACGCTAGAGCTGCATTAGTTTGTGTCATTTGCCTGTTGGGTTTGGCTTTTTTGCCTTTTTGACCTCAACCTCAACGACGCAGGTAGATTGCGTCCTTTTGGGAATGCGACGACCAGACTATGTGATTGGCACCATTCCACTTGCTTTTGCTACTCCACCGGTGAATTCAGAGGCGACGTCCTTTGCAGAATGAAGCAAATGCGGTCAATGGCACTGTCAAATGTCACAATGAAAGCCTGAAGGTCGCATTGAAAGCGCTGAGGGCGGTACACAACACTGTGCCTAGCTAAGCCACGAAGCGACTGTAGACTTCAATTTCAATAACATGACACTATACTTCTGGGTGTTGTTGCTCATTGACTCCACATGACTCCACATTGCCTCATGGCTCATAACTTTGATTGAAGCGTTGCGTAGGTTTGTATGTGGTTTGCAACTGCCATCCATGAGTCTGACCACGGGACATCAAAGCACTGGCGCCTTCCAGTGAAAGATGCTTGACTATCGTTGAAGCCCCAGATTTACAAGGAAAGAGCACTTTCCATTTTGCTTCTAGTTATGCGTGGTGGGGAGGGTGCTGTTGTTTTGCAAGACCCTTCTCAAATCTGTTCTTGGGCGTTGAGCCACGGATCGCACTGCACCTGAAGCGCCCCACCATCCCTCGCTGACACCGTTGCACCCTATCACAGTGAGCAAAAACCCTGAACTGGTAGTTTTTGAACATGTTTGTACTTGGACGAGATATAGGAAACATCTACTACTGTAAGATAAAACTATAATTGTAATTACTTGTTTTGATGAGAATCAATGAACCCAACTGCAGTTCCGCAGTTGCGCAACCAGCATAAGCGCGTCGTGAGCCTCAGAGCCTGGACCATTTTGCTGCTGCTTTGTCCATCTCCGCTCTTCCAAGGAAAAATACTCCAATGCAGCTGGAGCATAGAAGTCAGAGCTCCAAATGCTTGAATTTTCGCAGCTGAGTCGCTGTTACCAATCCTCAGTTTTCGTTCCATGGGCCATCTTGGGCCCGGCCTCGCGACTTGAGTCTTTTTTCTCAGCTTGTGCTGACCAAAAGGAGTGCCACCAGAGAAGCATAAGTTGTGATTAGCAAGACCGCAAGTGCAACGAAGGAGCTTGGACGCTTTCTTTGAGAATTTCAGGATCCCCCCAGAACTGGAATGAGCGGGGCGGCTTTGGGAAGTGCTCGTGGGGCAAGCCAAGCAAGGCACTCAAAGACACTCAGCAGTGCCGCTCAAAGACACTTGGAGCCGCTTTGCCTTGAGACGATGGCCTTCAATCTAAGAGCGATGGCCTCCAACCTACTAGCCATGGCCTCCAACCTACTAGCGAGTTGCTGGTGACTGACTTGTGCAAAAAACAATTGGCCACAATAGTATTCGATGAAGTCATGATGACAAGGTCTTCTCAAATCGCTAGGCCACTCGCGCATACTCGCGCCACTGGGTTTGGGCCAAGGCCAACAAGGCTTCTCGGAATCCCACGGGTACTGGGTGGAGAAGTGCTGATGCAGGCCAGAGCTTGCCTGGTAAATTTTCTGGATTCAGTTGTACATGTCAAATGTCTCAAGAAATTTGCGACAGCGACATACGGATTCATACAGTCAGACAGATGTCTCAACTCTCAACGCTTCTTTGTCTTTCCAAGAACTTGCATTGCTATATATTCTATAATGTTCTATTTATAATATATATATAGAGCGTTCTTGCCCGTAGTAGCGTTCTTGTTCCTTGTAGTATGGCCAGGAGCGCCTAGTAGCGTTCTTGTTCCTAGTAGCCATGCCCTTTGCTCCTAGTAGCGTTCTTGTTCCTAGTAGCGATGCCCTTTGCTCCTAGTAGCGTTCGTGTTCCTAGTAGCAATGCCCTTTGCTCCTAGTAGCGTTCGTGTTCCTAGTAGCGATGCCCTTTGCTCCTAGTAGCGTTCGTGTTCCTAGTAGCGATGCCCTTTGCTCCTAGTAGCGTTCTTGTTCCTAGTAGCAATGCCCTTTGCTCCTATTAGCGTTCTTGTTCCTAGTTGCGATGCCCTTTGCTCCTAGTAGAGTTCTTGTTCCTAGTAGTGATGCCCTTTCCTCCTAGTAGCGTTCTTGCTCCTAGTAGCGATGCCCTTTGCTCCTAGTAGCGTCCTTGCTCCAAGTAGCTATGCCCTTTGCTCCTAGTAGCATTCTTGTTGCTAGTAGCGATTTCCTTTGCTCCTAGTAGCGTTCTTGTTCCTAGTAGCGATGTTCTTTGCTCCTAGAAGCGTTCTTGTTCCTAGTAGCGATGCCCTTTGCTCCTAGTAGCGTTC